AGTGGTCGAGGGGTTTTATTTTTCATTATTTTGCAAAAAGAAAAATAAAATAACAAACTTACTAACCATACTTTGACAGATTAAATTTCTATAGAACCTATAGGTTGAGTGATATACGTCTAGATTATTTCTCAAATTAAAGGATGCTATTTGACAATTAATAAAATCTGAAGTATATATATGTCAAAATTTATGAACAATTTTTTATACAAAATTACATTAATTTAAAAAAATGTAATAGGTAATTAATAATTGATATTTCGTAAACTATATAACTTATTTTTTATTGTTTTTTAAAAAATGTATGTTAAAACTTGTAAATAACACCATAAAATCGTAAACAAAAATTCAATATGGTGTCTAAAATTTAATCGCTGTTAAACAGTGATTCGAATTAAGTGTTTAGCAAAAAATACAATATAAGAAACAGATATTTTAAATTCACTAAATTAAAAATATCAGTTTGGCATAAAAATTAAATCTAATTTTAAAATATCTGCCATGATATTATTAATTCACGGAATAAAAATTCTTTTGTGATATTTTTGATCTCCGGTTCTCATAAAATTAATTCATAAAAAAATAAAACGGCGCCCCATACATCAGCAAAATTTATTATTATATCTTTTAAATCTAATCTAGAGGCTTCTTTGGCTTTTATAGAAAAATGTTTAATCGTTCTTACCCATCGTTGTTTTAAAATAATTTTTAAATATTTTTCTAAAACGATCTTTTCGTGGTCGCGGTAGTAACTGAAATAGGTAAAAATAATAATTAGGCACTTATAATAAGAACGAATTCCAAATTTGTTAAAATTAATAATTCCGACAATTTTTTAAATTTAGTATTTTAGAACTGGAACCAATTTTACAATTTAAAAACTTAATAAAAATGATTTTAAACGTTATTATTCAAAGGTTTTACAATTTTTTTAAAATTAAAGAAATTAAATACATCAAAATAACCCCATCCTCTAACTTTTTCTTAGGGCCCCTAAAAATGCATAATCGGCCCTTTCTATTTGCCACTGGATTCCAACTGAACCAATATACATATATAGTAGTTTATAGTTACAAATATAAAAGTTTCTATCATATTATATGTTTCCTTAAAATCTTTTTTTTTAATTTTTAAATTTATTTTTTATATATTTTTTTTATTTTAATCTTTCTTGATATGTTTTTTCTTAATTCGCTATGCTTTTTTTTCATTTTAAATATCATTCCTAAGACTTTTTTTTAGTTTGTATACAATGTATAGCCGACTATAATTTTTAATAGAAAAATCATGCATACAAACTTGCAACAAAAAATTGTCAAAAATTAAACCAGTTTTCCTAGCAATTGGCCAAGGATGTGCACTTACATTATACACTTACGACATGCAGTGTTCACTTCGTGTTTCGAATTAACCGAGACCACGTGTTTGATATAAATCGTCCTAGAGCAAATTACTCAGATGTTATAAATTTATAAATAAATCAAAATAAATTATCTCATTTAATGTTGCTACTTTGTAACTAAAACCAAATTAATTTTATGTTGTAGGTATATTTTACTTAAACTTAGTTGTAAATTAAATAATTAAATTTTCTTTTAGGCTTTTAATATTTAATATAGCTTCGGTTGTGCTCTAGTTGTTTTTTTGGAAGTGAATCAAGTCAACTCATTTATTATATTTTATTTAAATTTAAGTAATTTTGAACATAAATAAGCCAAGAACTTATTAATTAATATAACTTATTTTCTTTAATTTATGTGTATTTTCTTATTATATTTTTTTTAATTACAGATTTTTAAAATCTTTGTGAAACGTTGAAAAATTGTATGAGTAATATTTCATAATGATGCTATTTTAATTAATATAACTTATTTTCTTTAATTTATGTGTATTTTCTTATTATATTTTTTTTAATTACAGATTTTTAAAATCTTTGTGAAACGTTGAAAAATTGTATGAGTAATATTTCATAATGATGCTATTTTAATGAGTTCACCGAAAAAAAAAACAGTTTTCTAGCCAAACATTTTATTTGATCTACTACTGGGTTTAAAAATAACTTTTAATTGCTTAAATGCAGTGAATATAACAAATTATAATTACTTGTCAAATTGTGGGACTGTCATTGTTTTCCAATATGGGTCGTTTTCAAAAACACCCGCCTTCCGCTGAGTGTAAGTTTGAATTTAAATAACTTTGTTAAAAATTATCGGATCTTATTGATTTAACAAGCCCTTAGTAAACTCTTTCGGAAAATGTTTGTTTAGTTATTTTAGAATAGTTTTTTTTTTAATTTTGAAACTTGTGAAACACACATTTTCCCATTAGCGTTTTATAAAACACACATGTTTTTTTTTAAATATTGAATAACGAGAACTTTGTGTTGCTTTATAGCAATCCATAACATCCTTAGTTAATACAGTAAACAATTTATATATAAAATAATTAATTTTAATATACTTTTTTAAATTTGACTCCTGTCCCAGACATTTTTTCCGTTGCGTTACGTCCGTCGCGTTACCGATAAAAAAAACATATATATGGCAACTTTTTTGGCACTCACGTGATCCACAAATGATGTTCGGACGTACACATTACCTAGCTAAATTTATTTATTCAATCAGGAAGAAGATATCGGTTGAAACAGGTGCGGGTAACGCGAATGTAATTATTGTTTGTCCGCTAAGTTACCCAAAAAAATAATAAAAATAAGGTAAGAAAAAATACTATTTTTCATGATTATGTTTATTTTAGGGCACCAAAGCTCATTGAGAGTAATTAATGACTGTAATGTATTATTATTATTTTTTAAATATGTTTTCACAAAACTTTGGTACTTATGGTAACGCAATGGAATTTAGGGTAACGCAATAGAATTTTTCGACAACAAAGTGGATATTTACCGTCGCTTTTATTAAAAGTAGTTTATGATAAACCAATTTAAAATTATTTGTGATTACAACTCATGATATAGATTACATCCAAGGGAAAATTCCACGCAATATACAAGTACTAAAGGGGACCTTCACCAGCTTATAGTCAAAGAAAAAGGGTGTCTACAATTTAGAAATCTAAGTTGTTATTCTGCACTCTAATAATAGTATATTACACTACAAGGGCAGAAAGTGTGAGATTCCTGCACTGCGCGCCATGATGCCCGAGGCGAAGCCGAGGGCATCATGGCGCGCAGTTCAGGACTCTCACACTTTCTGCCCGTGTAGTGTATACTATTTTTCTTGCTACCCCGCAGAAAATACGGGAAAAAATTAAATGTATATAAAAAAACTTTTGTCAAAATTAAAATCTGACGTTTAATTTAATTCTGACGTTTACATTCAAAATCAATCAAACTGTAGCGTTGTCATGGTAATTCAGCGGTGCCAATACAGTAAAAATAAAAGGTTGTATTTTAATTAACAAATTACTACTTTATAACAAATAAAAGTACCATTAAACACTTAAAACCACATAAAAAGTAAAAAAGTAAAAACATAAATTGTTTATTTGTTGTTATAATTTGAAAATTAGGGTTTAAAACTGTCATATTTTTGTGTTTCTCATGTTGGCAGTACGAAATTTGAATTGTGCTTAACGACTAAAAAATTTTTACTCCCGCTATTAGAGTGTGCGTGTATAGCTTGACCAATGCAAGAAACGTAAACTTTCTGCCGTGAAATCGGGGACGAAACAACGTATTTTGAGTCGAGGTAGTAAGAAAAATATATTGTAATCCCTAACAATATAGATTTGTTATGCAAAATATGATTCATTTAATTATAACTTATGGTTGTAATAACAATATACGTAAAATTAGTTTTGTTATATGTACTCTAATCATTTTGTTATAAAAATTTAGTAAAGTTAGTTATTTGATTAGGCTATTACAACCATCATGTACAGCTAAACTGTTAGTACTACACTAGATGGTTAAAATTATAAGATTATCTGGTTACAATATATTGTAACCAGATATAACAATATAATGTTGTCACACATTATTAACAATATGTCGTAGTTTTTACTATACAGAAAGTTTATACATATCATACGTATAGTATATTTAACCATATAGAGGGTTATAAGGTATTTGCATATGATTATTATAACTAAATAAATTATTGTTTTGTACAACAACAAAAATATAGTTAAAGTGACAATAAAACTGTTACAATATAAACATGGTTAACATAACAGTAAATATGGCTGTGCCTATACTAATCAGAATATTTAGTAAAAGTTACTATATATTTGATTAAGATAACCATTGTTTTTTCTCAGTGTGCCAGTGAGCACCACTACAAGGGATTTTGTTTATGAATTACTCTAAAATCGTACCACCCTTTATAGTTTCTTTTTTACGTTATCTGATTAAGTCCTTTTTGTACCCTAGTTCGTTGTGATACCAAATTGGTATTACCAATGTCTATTTCGTTACTTTTTGTTGTTAAAAAAATACTTAAAATGATTTTTATACACTATCACTTGGTAATAGGTGTTTATAAATTAGAGTTTAACTCACTAATACAGTGACTAAAAGAAAATATTAATGGTATTGTTTTTTTAACAAAGAATCGGACTGGTTTCTTTTTAAACGTAACTTAACATACATATTTAAAAAAAGCATACAATTTAAATTAAATAAAAAATTGAAGTCAAAAATTTGTGAACTAAGTACATTTTATTTCAAATTATTTTTATAACAACTTCTTTTATTGAATTAAATTTTGGATTTCAAATTGGTAACACAGTGGAGATATATAAAACTAGCTAAACACATTTTTCTGAAAAAAACGTAAAAAAAATTAAAAAGTGCACTGCCTGTCTTAAATGTAAGTAAACAAAACTCTAAACATTTATAAAAATCCAACCAAAAGTCAATTTAAGCAAAAAAAATTGATCTTCATTTTCCTGAAAGCGGGTGTTTCTTGAAAATGACCCATATCTTTAAATTAAGATATTTTACATGTTTTTAAACTTTTTATAACACTACCTTTTTTCAGATTTTGCGTTTTTGCAATGTTGGCGCCATATTCTCTTCCCTGTTCCCGGTGATGTGATTGGCGGGCGTTGATTAACAAAAGGGCCCTCGGCCCCAATCGGGCCCATCATACGAATCGCAATGAATGCAGCTTTAAATCGGTCGCCGCCGCCAAAATCTGCCGCCGCCGCCTCCACTATCTCTATCAAAAGAGTGTCTGCCGCAAAACTGGTCCTGCTGTTCTTCTTGTGTCTCATGGTTTTCGTCGATTTTGCCAAAGGTAAGAAGATTTTTTTAAATAATATAGCTTAGTAAAAGGATAAGAAAAATCTTTGAAAAAAATTCTTTTAAAGATTTTTCTTTTAAAGTTTGTTTGCCGGCGTCATAGGTCAAAGGTGACGAAAAACAGTTTTGTCGATTATCTCGTAAAATTTGTTCTTCTTGTATACATTTAAAAATCTATATAAAAATGGTTCCCTAACAAATTTACTTGCAAACTACTGTTTTAAAATTCCCGGAAAAATTGAGCCGGCGAAAAAAAACAGGTTTTTTTCTTAAAAAAGAAAAACGGAAAAATTGTTAAATTAAATTTTTTTTCCAATTTTTTAAAAAGTTGAATTTTTATTTATTCTCGTATTCCTACAACGGATAATTATTATTATACAACAAAAATGCAAAAGTATTATTTTCTACAAAATTCCCAATTTGTCTTTTAAAATGAGTATGAGTATAAGAGTTGTATAACTGGCCCCATTGCCTCATGCATACTGTTGTTTATTGGAAAAGGTCTTTTAAGTTTATGGATTTTGTAAATTACTTGGTGATTGATTTATTTGTCTTACTCAGCTATAATCTCGTGAATGCCAGCGATAAGATTTGGACGGCTTGGATTTATTGTTTTTTTGTATTGTTTAAGCGGAAAGAACCGCTCTCAGGGTTGTGTAGGTATCTGAACATGTAGTCAGTACTTATCAAATGTTTGCAGATGATGGTCCTTTCCACTCTTGGTTATCCTCAGAGCTGGAAAAGTTACATCTAAAAAGTATCTAATTACTTTTCTAAGATACTTTAAACAAAATGACTTAGTTACCTCTGGTAACTAGAAACTTTGAGTTAAAAGTATCTTTAGTTACAAGATTCTTTAAAGAGTATCTAAGATACTATCCGAAAGTATCTAAGATACTATATGAAAGTATCTAAGATACTTTTAAGTAACTAAGATACTTTTGAGTAAATAAGTTACTTTTAAGTATGAATAAAAACTATAAAATTATAAAGATTCAACAAGTTGTAGGTTAGGTAATTACTTTGAATCACTTTGGAATTCCCCCAATTTTCTTTGATAAAGTATCTAAATTACACTGAAAAGTATCTAAGATAAAGTAATCTTAGATACTTTAAGTATCTAAGTTACTTACTTTCAAGTATCTTATTTCTCAAGATACTCCCAGCTCTGGTTAGCCTTGATTGTTTTTCACATAGAATGCTTCCTATTGTCAGGTAGTTCGTCGGCCAGGTATGCTGTCACTTATCACTTTACACTCTATTACGTGACCGGTAGCCTTTAATTTACTGTAGTTTATTAATTAATTAATTAAATATTGTTAATTTTGGTTTTAAGCAAGTTTTCGTTTACTATTTCTTACCTCGTCAAGAGTTCGAACGTGAATTTTTTGTTTAAAATGCGTTTGGGAATAATTGGATTTAAAAAAGTTATTAACAGCCTTACTAAGTAAAAATAAAGTAATAATTCATAAATAAGATAAAAAAATGCTCGTTTTATTAAAATGTGTGTATTTTTAAATTTTCCAACAAAAAAAACAATTTTCCAAGGCTCAGGAGAAAAACCATCTTAATGCAAAATCATTATAACCGTCCCTCCTGTACTACCATAAAATCTGACAACTGTCAGACATTTCTAACCTTACTTTATTTTCTAATTATTCTAATTTATTAATTAACTTTTAAGAAAATAATAATAATAAACCGTCGCGACGTATTATCCTTGTTTAATCGCCATATACAGGGTGCATCAAGTATCCTTCTATGTATGGGTATCTTTTTTAATTAAAGAGCTACAAGGTCGGTTAAATTAGATAAAAGTTGGGTAATTAAAAGTCTATTAAAATGGAATTTGAAAATTAAAAAAATTCTACCGGTTTTCAAAAAAACCTTTCCAAACCAAAAATAGATATAACTTCATTAATACTGTAAATTTTGAAAAAATTAAGTTTTATATGTAGAAACAAAATTGTTGAAAAGTGCATTTTTTTAAATGGAACACCCTGTATTTTATCTAATATTCTAATAGTATATTACACTACAAGGGCAGAAAGTTTGAGATTCCTGCACTGCGCGCCATGCCGCGCAGTTCAGGGCTCTCACACTTTCTCCCGTGTAGTGTATACTATTTTTCTTGCTACCCGGCCGAAAATACGGGAAAAAATTAAATTTATTTTATAATAATTTAAGGTTATTTAAGTACTTATTGTACCAATGCATCAAACGTAAACTTTCTGCCGTGGAATCGGGGACGAAACAACGTATTTTCGGCCGAGGTAGTAAGAAAAATTTATTTTATAATAATTTAAGGTTATTTTAGTACTTATTGTACCAATGCATCAAACGAAAACTCTCTGCCGTGGAATCGGGGACGAAACAACGTATTTTCAGTCGAGGTAGTAAGAAAAAGATATATCATGTTCCTATACCTAAATGTAGATCAAATTTTCTTACTCAGAACTAATACACAGGACCTCCCTAAACTACGCCCAAAATTTCAAATTTTTACGAATCCCAGTGGCGTAGTAAAAATATTTTAGATCGATAGATCAGGAGCAATAACTTAAGTAAATAAATTTTCAGATCATTCCTATGTACCGTTCTCCGTAAACGTCTAACTTACCATCGACTATCAATCACCCTGTATATAGGGGAAGTAAGCACCTTGCTTAAACTTAGCATCGTATCTTAGGAACTATTATTCCTACGTAAATTTTATGCAGAAACATTTTTATGCAAATTTATATGAGGAACAAATTTTATAAATAGAAACATTTACCAAAAATCAATAGTTTAGGAGATAATCGAAAAAACGCCCGATTTCTCTTGTGACTTTTGAGCAGAATTGCCAACCGTAGAATTTTTCTCCTAGTACATAAGCAACCAAAAATTTCGTATTTGCCTTTTAAACCTCGTACATTCATTAAGCATCTAAAATGTGTGTGTATAACTATTGAATTTAGAACGTTTTAAATAGTTAATTTAAAAATTGAAAGTTTTTTACTACATAAAACCAATGCGATAGGATTTTAAAAATGAAGGTTATGTTTATAGAACTCTTAACTGTGTTAATAAATGTAGTTTATGTATTTTTGATCGCAACTCCACCTGAAATTTGTCTCAATGGTGGATTTACTTTTCCTATTGAGTTGCCAGACCTTTATCGTGGCTAAAAAATGTTGCCTGCAATAAAAAATCATGCGAAAGAACAAAAATCTTGTATTTTTACAAGAAACCTCGTGCGGTTGGGAAACTTGCTTTCGAGATACTATTTCTAGTACCCAAATAAACCATATTCCAAAGAACAATATATTGTTAAATATATTTTCCAAAGTGAAACCTTATAGGGAAATATATTTTGAATAGGCTATTATAGGATAAAAGAGATTTTTTTCTGTGTACCACAAAATATTTTGACAAAATAATGTGCATTATAAAAAATGTCGTCTTCCAAAAAAATAGATTATAAACCCGTCAACAATTTAAAATCGATTTTTCTCACAAGTGTTTATAAATGAAGCGCCAAAACCAATTAAGCGTAACAGACGACGGTGCATCTTTAAATTTAGACGCTTATTTTTGCTTAAACAAACCTGCCTTTTTTACTTTCCTTATTATGTAGTAGGCGGGTATTTTCAACACATTAAAAGGAGATTTTATAGTTTTTTTCTGAGATAGCCGCGTTTCAGTGTGCAGTTATATAGAAAGGCAAAAAAGTGGACTTGGTACAGTTAGTACTTCACGATTTCGTAATTAGGGATTGAAACTAGATAGTAGTGTAGCTCGTGAGCAACAAAAAACTTTTTATACGTATACGTGAATCAAGAATTACGCCTTTTTAGACACATTATAAAAATGCCTTCTGTTAAGTTTGCCTATTATTTTTTTTTGATTTTTTGTATTTTCACTGGTCAATTTTTTACTTAAACGATATTTAAAAGAATTACATCAAGTTGAGTACTTTTGTTACATTGCATATTCTCTCATATCTAATGAAGACGTTCTCAAATGAGAATGCTGTACAATTAATATCTGATAACGATCAGCATATTCGCATGTAAAATTATTTACCAAGTTAATTGAGACATTTTTCAGTTTTCATACAATGTTGCACATTTTGAGCCAATTACACACCTGTTTAAAAATAAAGTAAGTGTTCGGAAACGCGATATTATTAAAATAATTGCAGGGCCATTATTTGCGCGATGGATTTTATTGCTATCATTAAATTAGAATTTCTATTTGTGGGGCAATTATTGGCAATTATTGCCCGAGCCTTATGCATATTTTTCGTCTAATATATTGCAGTTTTTTATAAGAAGTATTGTCTAAAGTAAGGTTATTCATTCCCCGCTTATAAAGATAAAAAGAAGGTAAACGATAGCGAGATGCACCTCATAAATCCTCAAAGGACGTCTTAACTTAATTTTCTCGCTATGAAAACTCCTTTCGTAAACATTGAGGTTCTTTTCGTTGCCAGTCTAGATGGATTTATTGAAAAATTGAGACGTATGCACATACATACATTGGAAAAATTTAAATTACAAAACAGCCAGCGCAATTTCAATTTGTAATGTTACGTGTTCATTTTTTCGCATGAGTTTTCTTTTTGTGCTTCGTTCTCTAGACGCACACCTTTAAGAAGGGTCAGTTTTTTGCAGTCTACTGTGAAAACAAATGCTTAAGTGGATAAGGCAGCAGATAAAGGCAAAATACACAAAATGTCTTGTTTTCTAGAAATAAGTAAATTTGTTACTATATTTTGAAAATTTGACCAAATTTTTTGTATTATAATATATTATGTATTATAATAGCAAAATATACCTAACAATTGCTAAGATTGTATTTTTTATAAAAACTGTCTTGAAACTGTAAATTATTTTCAAAGAAACATAATGTGGAAAATTTGCATGGGTAATTGTTTTTAATAGTTGCAATAATAATTAGATGTATGATGGATTACGCCGCCGCGGCGCGCCGCGTGGTAATATAAATTAA